TGTGTGCCGCTGCATTTTTTGTGTATGGTAAATATAATTGTCCTGTACAGATTATACTTAATGAACTTCTTTTTCTTTTAACAGGGTGGTTTTGGAACAGCTCTAATGGCAAAAGATTTAGGACTTGCACAAGATGCAGCTACAAAATCTTTAACACCAACTCCCTTTGGGTCCCTTGCACATCAGGTTGGTGTATATTTGTGTATGGGTTTACATCTGTCAGAGGGAGATCAGTGTATCTACAGCAAACCCCACTTTCCCTTTTATATATGTAACTTGTGCCAGTTGTATTATTCTTGTATGAAAAAAACTAGAAGAAATTAACTAGTCTCGCTTGCATTTTACATAATTGTTGCCTGTAATATGTAGTAGTGTTAATTTTATTTCTTTGGAATATTTGTCTCGTATAGCTGAAATCAGTATTTAGACAATTCCCCCAAAACTGGGAGTAATGGTGAGCCACCTTGATTCTTTTCTTGTACATATAAATGTGAATCACAAGCTTTTTTGGTAGGCCTAGCTGAAAGATAAGTTTTCTTTCAATTGAATGATGTAATCATAATGTCCATTTATTCTTTTCAGATATATCGGATTATGTGCAGCACTACCTAGCTGCAAAGATTTTTCATCAGTCTTCCGTTTTATTAAAGGAAATGAAGAAGAATAAAAAATATCATGTTATTTTTTAGGATACATTTAGATTGTTAGCACATTATAATCAGAAGAGAAATCATCAGGTAAAAAAATAAAATAAACTCAGTAGGGTTAACAATTTTTACTTAAATTAAGGCAGCCTTTAGTCTAGTAATTATTATTGCCTTATAACAAATTTTGTGAGCTATATATAGTTCTGGCAATGAAAGTAAGAAATATTTTTCTACATTGTATTTCTTACTTTTCAATTCCACAATATGAGTCCTATGTTACTGCATAATACAAATGAAAATGAAGTTTTCACTTTTTGAAAGTCAGGGGATATTTATTTGAAACTACCTTAACTATATAAGCAATGTCAAAGTTTTTTTTCTGTGGTTAGAGTATTTTTTATATGAAATCTATTTTATCCTGCAAAATCACAGTTTACTTAGAATCATGCAATGGTTTATTGAAAGCCAAAACACGATTTAGTTACACAAGTAGATTAAGTTTGCAGAGCCTAACTGTTCACGGTAACTATTTTAGGGATCTCCAACAAACTTTTGTGATGGTTAATTAAGCAAAGAAATAAATGTCCTTATTAACTAAGATCTGAGCATTGTATTGTGAGGTTGTATCAAGTTGATGGAAATAAATATCCAGAAAACCTGTCTTTTTTCATTACAGAGATGTTTACATTATTACATAAGTATTTGATTAATGAAAAAAAAATCATTTAGTGGGTATTCTTTTCACTTGTCATTATTATTCAATTCTATTTTTTTTATAATTAAGCATGCTGTACAAATAATTTCTTATGGGATAAATATCCTTTTAGATATTACTCATTTTAGATTGACCTTTCTTTAAAGATGCAATATTAGACAGTTGTTTCTTATTTGTTACATTTTACCAACTGGTTCCTCAGAAAAATAGTAAGGTTTAACAGAGGCATGATTTTGAAGATATGACCTGGGGTCATCCCAGATTAACCCAATGCCCCCAGGAAAATTTTGTGTTCACATTAGTACTGTTCTGTCAAATGTCTCTACACAAATGCTCTGCCAATGCTTAGCCACAAAGGAGTCAATTAGTAGACTTTATGACCTCACCTGGTTTCACTTTTCCTTGAGTTTGCGGGAAAAATGTTTTTTTTTACCAAAGCTATCAATACTGATACAGTTATTTTCAACTTGTTATTGACATTAATAACAGCAATATTAATTACCAGAAAATTTTATTGAAAATCAAGGATAAGGGTAAACAGGTGAGAGGTCTTGCTATTGGCTCATTAGTGACAAAGTATTTGTGGAGCCATCTATTTGTATATAAAATTACTAAATTAAATACATAGTGGGCATGACATGTATGCACATGCCAACTCCAGCAGCATATGGTTAATATTGCTACAAAAATGTTGATGCATGTTTCTTATCAGCATAAAAGTAATCAACTTGACCATGAGATCACCTAGCATAAAGCCTACCAATGTAGCTCCTTAGTCAAGGGAATGGAGTGTGTGAAGCTTATGATATTGGCAAGTCTCTTTATCATTTACAGCATGTTATGGTCTTGCCATGTGCCATTCGAGTGTCTGGAGAGATCCTGGCCTGGTTCCTTAAAGGGAAACCTAGATGATTTATCTGTTACATTAATCACAGATAATGAAATATTAAGCTTGCATATGTACAGTTGAGCAAATAGATTGTGTAACCATGTGGATATATATATGGCCATGCTTACAGACATGCATATTTATATATATTGTATGTATTCGATAGATAGATAGATAGATAGATAGATAGATAGATAGATAGATAGATAGATAGATAGATAGATAGATAGATAGATAGATAGATAGATAGATAGATAGATAGATAGATAGATATATATAATATATATATATATATATATATATATAATTAATATATATATATAGTATATATAATTATATATATATAAATTAGATATATATATATATAAATTATATATATTATATATATATATATATATATATATAGTATATATATATATATATAATATTATATATATATATATATATTATATATATATATAAGTTATATATATATAATATATATATAGTATATATATATATAATATAATTATTATGATTAATTTTAAATATATAATAGTTTATATAATATATGTATATATATATATATATATATATATATATATATATATAATATATCTCACTTTCATCAATAAATCTAGTTTGTGCATTGTGGGTTTCTTCCACACAATATATATATATATATATATATAATATATATATTATATATATATATATATAATATTATATAATATATATATATATATATATATATATATATAT